CTAGGTAGAGTGCCTTGGTGTTACAGCTCACAGCAACCTCCAACTCCTAGGCTTAAGTGATTCTCTTGCCTCAGCCTCCCAAGTAGCTGGGACTAAAGGTACCGCCACAACACCCAGCTATTTTTTTGGTTGTAGTTGTCATTGTTGTTTGGCAGGCCTGGACTGGATTCGAACCCGCCAGCTCTGCTGTATGTGGCTGGCACCTTAGCCCCTGAGCTACAGGTGCTGAGCCTCTTCTCACAGTTTTACTTCCAAAATGCCTGTGCCCTGGAGAAGCAGCTTTTGGAAACTAGACTACTTGACCACTTGTTCTAAGATCTAGCATTGTTTCACCTGTTAGTAGAAAATCTAAATGACGCTAATCCTTTCTTGCCTTTCTCCATGATTTTAGAAACACGGAATCTCTTACTATCCACAAATAAGACTTTCTTGACTCAGTCTTATGATATTCTTCCTCTCTTACACACACACCCATACTTAGGTTTTAAAGAATACTCACAATGGTACCTTTGCTAGAATAAAATAAGGCAGGGTGCTAAGGAAAACGTGCATTTCCTATTTTATAGAGGATTTAATAGAGATACCTGTCCCCATTGTTAGGGCAGAGCAGTGCTATGGAAAGAGATGTGAAAAAGATGTCTGGTAAAGTTGTCAAGTAAAAAGTATGTAGGAATCATTGGCCGTATAAAAAGTCCCCCAGCTTTTCGGATATGCTTGGAGAGGGGATAAAATAAAAGACCAGGCTTTCCACAGTTACTCAGACAGTTGATATTAAAGGGAAAGGAAACCATAGGGAATTTGGTTAAATAAACATAGCCCGCAGTGAGGAGGGCAACACACGCTCCAGGATTCAGTTACTACCCGCAACAGACTTCATTTCCTAAGCACCTACTCACCGTATATCACACACCTTCCATAAACTGTCTTATTCAGTCCTGGGTATTTTCTACTTGACAGAAAATAGCCTCAGCCTCCTTCATTGATGCTTTTATGTTTAACTTTCAAAACACAGTACTAATGAAATCACTCAGTCACAAAACGGAGCCAGGCATTCTTTGGAGCTAGACATACCAGGGTCAAGATTCTTGCTGTGCCATTTACTAAACCAAGACTTTGGGTGGGTTAATTGACTCTGTAAAGAGGAGGTAGTAGAATAGAAGTTCATTGTGTGGATAAAATGAAAGAACCCCAGTACCCCCAAACTGTGCATTTCCTTTGCACCTCTTTCTCTGCCCTTAAACCTTACTAGTGCTGTCTGACACCCCTAACCTTGCATCTCCAACTTCAGTGATCATACAGACCACCCGGCAACCTTGCTGAGATGCAGATTGCAGTTTAGCAGGTCTGAGATTCTGCATTGTTATTGGCAGACAAATATCCCTAAATAGGTCTCTTGGTCTGGTGGCCAGGAAATGACAGAAGATGGGTAGCTTCCACTAACAGGACATCTCTTTTAGACCCTAAACTCTTCAGGTTGAAAGGAGCTTGGAAAGTTGCCGTATAAATGTTTCTTTTTTTCTTCTTCAGTCTCTTCCAATTTCTTTCTTCCTCAGTCAGTCACTGTCTTAACTTTGTGTTAATACCTCCTCCTCTGCAGGTGAGTATTCTTTAAAACCTAAGTATGGGTGTGTGTGTAAGAGAGAAAGAATATCATAAGACTGAGTCAAGAAAGTCTTATTTGTGGATAGTAAGAGATTCCATGTTTCTAAAATCATGGAGAAAGGCAAGAAAGGATTAGCGTCATTTAGATTTTCTACTAACAGGTGAAACAATGCTAGAAACTCCTAACAAGCTCCTGACCACTGATGGACCACTGATCTGCAGATGGCACTTTGAGTGGTGCCTCTGTAAATGCTCTTCTCTAGAATTCACCGTCTGATACCAACCTACCTTTCCATTTCTACCCACTGTCCTGCCTCTCAGTCCTTGGCTTTGATTCTTACTCCATTAGCCACTATTAAAATGTATACCATATTTCCACATCTGTTTTTTTCTTTTATTTTGTATCTTCCTAGAATATTCCAAGCTTCACACTCAGCTGTCATCTTATTTGCTTCAGAGTTCCTCAGTTTCATTTAGCAATCCTCTGTAACTGTCACCTTCTGATTTTATCCCAGCCACCAGTCAGAAGTAATCAAACTTTTCCCCATGTCCCAAAGCATGCTGTTGCTTCTGGTAGAATACAAAGTACATTTTATCATACTTAGTCACATATTAACATGGTTGTTGACCTTATACTTGCATAAATATGTCCACATCTCTATGTCTCCACATGAATGTCTGCCTCTCATTTGTATTTTATCTTCAACCTATAACAGTACTTGGTAAATAGTAGTTTCTTGGTAAATGCTAACTAAAAATAAATCAACTTGAAAATAGTGTAGCTGCCCAGAACAGTAGCTAATTTGATCCCAGAGACCACACAACACCCATTGAAATACTATATGTAAATCCAGGGACATATTCAGTTTGGGAGCTAGATCTGGGTTACAAAGGTTAACTGGTAAAATGATGAGGCAAAAACTTCAAATCATGAAGATAAATTGAAAATGGAACATATTTAGCCTAAAGAAGACAAGATGCAAAAACAAATGTCATTATTGTCCTCAGACACTTGAATATGTGGCACGTAGAGACTGGTTTCCTATATAGCACCAAGATCTAGGATTTGAGCTAAAGTGGAACAGTGCTGGATGTACAGTGGGAAATCAATAATTTTTTTTGGTCTGGATATAAGACAAAGCTTTTTAAGAGAAATTTCTCAGGAGGTAGTGAGTTGATATTAACACAAAGTTAAGACAATGACTGACTGAGGAAGAAAGAAATTGGAAGAGACTGAAGAAGAAAAAAAGAAACATTTATACAGCAACTTTCCAAGCTCCTTTCAACCTGAAGAGTTTAGGGTCTAAAAGAGATGTCCTGTTAGTGGAAGCTACCCATCTTCTGTCATTTCCTGGCCACCAGACCAAGAGACCTATTTAGGGATATTTGTCTGCCAAAGCTGTAAAGTTAAAAAAAAAATAATAATCACAAAATTTGTGACTAGAAAGACAGGAATTTTGGCATATTTTTTATGTGGGTGTTAACATCTACATGCACTTCACTAGCCAACTATCCATCTTCCATTCCCAGAAAAATGCTGAAAGATATGATTAGGTGAAAAACATATCAAAATATGTTAACGAGATCATATCATTTTTTACGATTGCCAGCAGAGTGCACATAACGGTACCCATGCCCTACTTGTGAAATAAGCATTCATTGATATTTTTGAAGGAAACGGAGCAAAAGCAGAATATACTTCTCATTAGACCCAGTGTGGTAGCTCAAGCCTGTAATCCTAGCACTGTGGAAGGCTGAGGCAGGTGGATTGCTTGAGCTCAGGAGTTTGAGACCAGCCTGAGCAAGAATGAGAGACCCCATCTTACTAAAAATAGAAAAGCTATCTGG